CTAAGCTGTCTTAATGAGAGTGTAAGTTGTTTAGGCTCCTTTTAGGACCTTTATCACTATTTTGGCTTGGTAGCAATTAGAAAGGGATCACATGCCTGTGATGGGCCATCCTCTTCAATGATAGAACAAGAATATTCCATGGTTGCTGATAAATTAACTCTATGATTGTAAAAGAGTATATGTTCTTAACAGGATTACTTGGTTTCTTATTTAGATTTTGTTTTTTAATTCCACTGCTAGTGAGTGGTGGACAACTTTCTGTAATTGTCATTCAACAATTATGATGAGAATTCAAAATTGTTCTCCTCACTTAAAGCTGTGTCCATGTTACGAAAACATCTTTCTCTGAATAGGTTAGTTAATAAATGGACAAGTAAATAGATGGGTTAAGTTTTATGAGACCAAAGAGCAGTTTAACATATTCATTCATTTATTATATCACTACCAGGCATGAAGATGAGCTCAAGAAGGCCTGAAACTTTGTTAATGTAACATTCCTAGGATTATATTAATGTTACTAGCAAAAGCCTCAAACAGGACCTTTTCCCAATACTGAATTTGTGAGGTTTCAGAGCAATAATATAGTCATTGTGACTATGTGGACTTTCAAGCATCAGGTCCCTTATGAGAACCTCCACTTAAAACTGGCTGAGTGGTTAACTGCTAGCTTCTGAATGAAAGCAAAGTTCTTTTCACCTGTACATCCACTTCAACTTTTCTTGCAGCTACTAAAAGACTAGAAACTGAGAATGAACTGTCACAGAATGCTTTGTGCATGATTTTTCTAAGGGCTGAAAACTTTGCTGTGAAAATAAATACATTCTTCGTCAGCTTCTTCTACCACTCTCCTGTGCAGTTTCTAAATCTTTACATATCTCTTGAAAATTCCTCTCCTATTCTTGACCTTATTACTTTCAACAGATAACCTGCTTTAACTTCACAGAGAAGAGAGTTCATTAGTTCAGAATTATTCAACTTCCTACCCTGAAACCCAACAACTTACCCTCACCCACACCTGCATTTACTTATTTCCTCTCCCCTCTCTAGTGTCCCTCAACACACCCAAAGTCACGGGTGATTATGAATCACTATCTATGGCCTAATTTTTTAAAAAATTCTTACTCCTATTTTTATACCCTCTCGTCTCTTTGCTTCACTGTGCCTTTGATGTAAATATGATTGGATTTGTACCCTGAGCTCCTTTAGCCTTTATTTATATCTTCTATCCTCTTTATCTTTACAACCAAGATCTTAAAAGTAGCCTACATTTCATTTTATTTCCCATTTACTCTCAAGAAACTACAAGCTGTCTCACACACCCACCATTCTACAGTTATCTGCCACCTGCTGATTGTCAAATCCAACAGGCACTGTTCAATCCTTATCTTCTTTAACCTTTCCAACATTTTATATTACAGACTCAGCACCCCTCTCCACTGCCCAACCCCTTGTCCTCCTAGGCAACACCACAATGTCCCCTCCCACCCTTCAATCATGAAATCCCCCATTAATCTAATCCCAATCCTTGTCTTATCTCTTTTTATACACTTTCTCTAGGCAATGGCACCCATATGCTTGAGCCTAGCTCTGATGACTCTAAGTCCTCATCTCTTGCTTTAATTATTGCAATAATGGTCTCCATGCTCTCTGTTTCCACTGAAACCTGTTTTCTATACTACAGGCAATAATCTCTTAAGATCACATCATAACACTCCCCTGCCTATAATCCTTCCTTGCCCCTATTCTGAGGGATAAAATTCAAACTATTTACCATAACCTGCCTGACTCTTCCTTCTTCCTTTGACCCCACCTGCCTTTTCATCCTCATCCACTGACATTTGCTACACCTAAGTTATTCTGCTGCCCAAATACCTTACCCTATCATGCCCTCCTAGACTTTTCCTGCTTTCTCTGTTCTCTCACTTTCCTCCCTTTTTTCCACCAAGCTACGTCTTAACTGCTCTTCAAGCTGTTCTCTCACTTTCCTCCCTTTTTTCCACCAAGCTAAGTGCTCTTCAAAACTTTCAAGACCCACATTAAACCCCATTCGTATTTAACAAATATTTATTGAAAACACCTTGTTTCAGATACTGATCTGAAGGCTGAAGTATTAGCTGAGACAAAATCCCTGTTCTCATATTGATTTCCCTGAGGGGCTGGAGGCAGGAACAGGATATGCAGAAAATAAAGCAGGGCAAAGTGGAGAGAGAGTTTGTGTGATGGTGCATTGATGTTTGGATAATGGGATAGTCAGGGACGCCCCTGCTCCTGCCCTGTCTGCTCCTGACTGATAGGTACCCTCTGTCTGTGCTCTGTTCACAATGAACAGATGCTGGATGACTTGTGAGGCTCCTCTGCTAGTCTGTGACTCCTTGAGGATAGAGACTCTCATCTAGGCATTCCTATTATCTAGAACATAAACATTCTAAGAAAGTGTGTTGTGCCAACATTGCTGGATGGAGAGATAAAGCCACATAATAAGTGCTCAAAATTTTTAGAAATAGATTAATACATATTTAAAATTGTAAGTTAACAGGAAAACTTCAAATATAAAAATTTAACTTTATACTTAGTCTAATACTACATCAAAAACTAAAACAAGGATAAAAAATCTAACAAGATATAATTACATACTAACATTCTTAAATTATGAATGGTAGGTTAAGTACAGATTAAATAAACATTCCATATGAGAAATGTAATTTGCTTTGCATTTGAAAGCATTTTTGAGAGACTGAATTGTGAAGGTGTGTAAGTGTTTTGGGGATAGTATCAATAAGAATTTTGCAAGGAAACTGGGAAGTAGATAGCATGGATAGAGTGAAAGTACATGGTAAGACTTTGTAGAGGTAGGTCTATTGGTTTAGTTGTACAGGTATTTCATTTACTAATTAAAGACAGAAACAAGTTTAATGATCGTGGCATTTTATTATGAAAAACCATAATCATGTTGCTGTTAACTTCACTGAAGGCAAAAAAGGCAAAATTAGAAATTGATAAGTGATGTTTTTGTTTATCTTATTTTTTAAACTCCCATGTTTACAAATTCTTTTCGCAAATTTTAGGGATTTTAAAAAAAACTAAAGTTCCCTACTCATGATCAAATTTCTTGCTAATTTATTTTGCTTGTTTTTTTTTCTTTTTCAAATGAAATATATAATACAATTACAGAAAGTTTATAAAATTGAAAAAACATATGTATATATATATACCATACATAGAGATTATACATAACTCTACTATTCTAAGACAACCACTACCCTGAGTATAATTTTGTTCAAACCTATAAACTGCTTTTATTCACTTATAAATATTTCCCATATTACGGCCTTCATAATGCTTTTTATCACAGCTGTATAATATTTCACCCACAGATGGATGATAATTTATTTTACCATTCTCGTATTGGTGGGCATTTAGGTAGCTCCTAATTTATTATTATAATAATAATGCTGCAGTAATCATTTCTCAGCAATTCACTTATTTTCTTTGCTCTTTCCTTAGGAGAGATGAACAACTATGGGATTATTGGTTTAAAGGGTATAAACACTTAAGGCTTGGGAAAAAACTGGAAGCATCACACCAATTTACACTGCCATTAGCAATATGTACGAGTACTCATACCACTGCATCTTTGCCAGCATAAGCATTACCATTTAATTTCCCTCCATTAATGCACAAACTTAACATTGCACTTAATTGTTTCAATTTGCATTTGATTACTACCAGAGTTCAATACTTCTCTCTAATTTTTAGTTAAGAAAGATGACACTGCTACTTCAGCAAGAAACCATACTGAGCATAAGTCAATGGTTCAAGGCTGTAAAAATAAAATAAAAAAGAAAAGCTTTAAGAAAGTTAATTCAATCATGACATGAGTAACGGTTATTGTGCTCCATAGTAATTAGGCATTAATGGCAAGCAGTTCATGTAAGTGGCTATTATTACTATTATTTAGACATAGCCAGATGAAGCATTCGTAGATTATGGGGGGTCGGGGGAGGGGGGGGGGGCTGGACCCACTATTATTACTATTATTTAGACATAGCCAGATGAAGCATTCGTAGATTATGGGGGGTCGGGGGAGGGGGGGGGAGGAGCTGGACCAAGTAAAGCTATAAAGTCTTCTTATGCCCCCATAAAGGTACCTTGATCTGACACCAGATGTGATCCAGAAGGCAAGTGTTCTTTCTTTCTTAGCTCCATGCAGCCTCTATAAACTTAGCACCCAGTAAAGATAATAAGCATTGTAAATTTAGTTTGGCTGAGGGTGGGCTAGAACTTACTTTACTGAGAATCAAAAATGAGGTCAAGTCAGATATTACTCACAGAAATGGCCACCAAATCCTTAGTCTCTTCTCTCCATGACTATTCCTCCAGCTAAGAATCTAGGTTTTCAGTGAGACTGCTGAAGAACTTTTAACTCTGATCTATTGCCACCTCCTTTCTGAGAGAAGAAAGGACTTGAGACACAATCATTTCCCCAGTCAACCTTACTAACTAATGGAGAAGTGATCTGGTAACAGGATTTAAGATACTTCCTTCTGCTCCAAATCCTTCTCCCGAACATTGTCTAAATTTCCATGAATCAGAGATTCTTTGATATTTCTAGTTACATAATTCTGAGATTAAAGAAGAAAGGTGAGGGTGTGAAGGGGTAACAGTAAAAAAACACACACACATACTCTACAGTGATGATTAAATTACCAGCCTGGTTTATAGTCTTGAAATATTTAACTCTAAAGCATGCAAAGAATAGAAATAAGAATTCCTATATGGAGAGGGCACAGGGGTAAGCAAAATGAGTTAAGTCATTTTGGGTTGCTTTAAATATGCATAGCTAAGGACATTAGACTACTGAAAATAGGGAAGAAAGAGGTCATAAAAATTTGTTTTTATAGACCTTAGGAGTTTCCAAAGCACATTTCTACCAATCATATTCCTTAATCCTCACAACAACCCTGTACTGAAACTGAGACCAGAGATATTAAGTAACTTACCCAAAGTCACACAGGTAGTAAGTGGCAGAGCCAGGACTCGACCCGGTTCTTCTGATTCCTCCTGTGCATGTCCAGCTCCGCTGGAGCTGAAGCAGGGCAAAAAGGAGGGGGAAGTAATTGCCCAAGACCAGCCCTGCCCTCTCCCCTTCTTTCAAAGGCCAAGCAGATCCGACATTTAACTCTGTCAGTGACCCCTTTCATCAAATTCTTTCAGGATAAAGCACACAGAATCTGAAAATGTTTCTCAGCCTTGAGCCCAAGAATGGCAGTAAGTAGTAAACAATGCCAGAGTATTCTGGCTGTACTTTGCCATTTATATGAAATTTATTGGAACCTCAAAGCATAATAATTCTCATTTCAGATAGTTAAACTTGTTTTTATAATTGATATTACTTAAAGCAGTTTGTTTAAAAATATTTTTTTCACAGTTTCAGGCAAAACTTTGAAATTATACTATTAAAAAAATTATCTTGAAAAATGTCTAAGAACCAAAATACTAAATCTACCTTTAACCTATTCTGTGGCCTTTTTTTCTATCTTAATCATCTTCCCTCAGTGATTATTTTCATTAAAGCTATTATAATTATTAAAATGGACTATAGAATAATCAGTCTTTTCATAGCCAATTTTAAGTATTTTCAACAAATTAAAGGAAAATGTGTGCATTTTCTTGATATGTCTTTTCTGAGATGTAAATCTTATATTATTTCTAAATTATATCTAAAGTGCTCTTTTTTGTTTTTTGTTAATCCTCACCTGAGGATAATTTTTCCATTGATTTATCTTAGAAAGAATGGAAGGGAGGAAGGGAGAGGGAAAGAGGGAGAGAGAGAGAGAGAGAGAGAGAGAGAGAGAGAGAGAGAGAGAAACATAGATGTGAGAGACACATCGATTGGCTGCCTCCTGCATGCACCCCTACCAAGGCCAGTGATCAGACCTGTAACCTAAGTACGTGCCCTTCACTGGGAATCGAATCTGAGACCTTTTGGTGAGAAGCCCAATGCTCTATCCACAGAGTCACGCTAGCCAGGGCTAAAATGCTTTTAATGTAGCCATCTATAATTAATTTTCTTAAAAAAAATTTAGAGTTTCCAGTCTCTAGTTTCTTGAACAGTTCCTTAATTTTTCTTAGGGAATTATATATTTTAATTTCTCATCTTAACTAAGTTTAATGAGAAAATTTTTTTCTTGTCTTTGCTTATTTCCTAAGAATAGGTATGAGGATACAATTTAAGTGGACTGAGCATATGACCAGCAATTTCATCATTTCTAGATCTTCTTGTAATCAGTTCCAATAGTCCTCAGTCTCTAATAGTCTTTCCATTTATGGGAACTACTATCAATAGGGCCAAGTGCTAAGTAAGCATTAACACTAATCAGGGCATATAAAAGATCAAGCAGAATATCAACTTATTTCTACCAAAAGCTTTTAGAGGCTTTTAGAGTTCTGAACTTTAAAAGATGTTCTGTTTAACCAGACTTCATTTAAGCATTAGTTCTATCTGAGGTGGGACATGTCTAACTGTAGCTAAAAGCCTATTGAAACCTTTACAACGAATAGAAGGTAAACTGACAAAAAAAAAAAATCAAATAAAAGAGAAAGAGGAAAAAGAGAAGCAACCTAGATAATAAGGAAGAAGAAAGGAAGAGAAGGGGGAAAAACAGAAAAAAGAGTTTACCTAGAAAAGATAAAAATTTTTGAATAAAGACTAATACAAACTTTTGATATGGCTCCCTTTTCCCTTTAAGACTTTAATTCTATATTTTAAAAATCTAATTAAGTCTAACATTCTTTGGGTACTGATGTTCAAATTCAGGAATACCTAATTTGCATTACTCCATTATCTGATCACCTTATGAAGAAACAATATATTAGTGTACTTTCCCCCACATTATTTAAGGCTTATTTACTTAAATCTTTTCAAGATAAAATGCTCTTTATATTCTTGTAAATAACTCATTAAATGGTACAAAAAGGGTTACCAACATTTAAAAAATACAAGTCCATAAATGTTAGAATATGAACCATACAGAAAAGGAATTAAACTGACTTCTAATACTGTACTTTGTATAACAAGCTTGTTGTTAAGCGTAACCAAAATGGTTTACCCTAATTTCCTAATCACATGATCTGGGAAAAATGAGCATATTTTAGGCAAGACAAAAATGCCAATGAAAGGTTGTTAAAGTTGATACTAGTTTCAGAAAAGTCAATGTTAGCCTTTCCCACTTACTTCCCTCACACTATCACATTCACTTAACATGCATAATAATACTGTATCAAGAAGCTCACCAACTATAGTTCCCAGACTGGAACCACCCCAGTCTCATGGAGGCCTTATTGATATGGATTAGGTGGCTTCTAGAAGGAAGAAAATACACTGAGTGGCCAGATTATTATGACCACCTGATGTTTGTAGGCAAATTAGCTATAATTTCGCACTGAAGTTGCTAGAGGGCCAGACCATTATAAATAGGGAAGCAGGTTGTTTACCACAACAGTAGAAGTGATTTTTTTCTGAAGATATGGGTAAACAACTCGATTTAACAGCCTTTGAACGTGGGATATATATAGTATATCTTCTATTTCTCTTATATCCTTTTAATTCCTTGGGTATATAGGCCAATCTATTTTCCAAAGTAGCTTTGTTATAAAAAGCTTTAAAAAATATTTGTTGAAAAACCATCATATTAAACTGCCATACTAGAGTTTGCTGTCTGAAGAACTCTTCAGTACTAAAGGTGACCACCAGGGATTACATCTCTCATTCATTAATTACGAACCTTCTTCCACTGTTTCTGCTACCAAACCAGTTCATGTGCTCTCTTAAAATTCTGATTCTCTCAAGCACTAAAAGAGATGGTACTTATAGTATTTATCTACTGCTCTTTAGAGAGCTTCTTTGTACTTTCACTGGCTATTAGGCATCCATAAATTCTGCCCTTGTTTATAATTATAAGTGTTTGGAGAGGACATGCTTCTTAAAATAAGAATGTTTTCCCCCTCCAGAATTCTCAAGTAAACTCCAGAATTGGATCCAAGATTATCAATTCATTTGACTTAACAACTGTTAAGTCACATAACAACTGTTATTTTGCCAGGAAAACAAGAATAGGAGATCAAGAGAAGTATAGGAGTTTGTTTTCTAGGAGATCTTTAACAAATTAAAATAAGGCTCAGAATATACTAGTCTATTAATAAAAGAGCTAATGATGAAATAAAATAGTACTTTTGGTCTTTTTGGAGTTTTATCCCTCATTTAAGAATGCCCACATACCCCGAAGAATTAACTTGCTTTGATACTTTCTTTTGATTTAGTAGTCAATGCCAGCTTAACAGAAAGGGATTTCAGATTTTGCCTTAGACTAGATTATTGGAGAATATCAACTACAAAACCACAAATGATGAAAATGTCTTATTGCTGGACCATATAAATACCCTGTGGGTTATGAGGTGAGAATTTCAGAAGAGGGCAGCAATATTATAAAAGCTATAATGGGAATCTTCATAAGGGCCTATTTATAAAAGTTAATACATACAAAGTTTCCAGAATTAGAGTTAAGTTAAAATGAAAAGACTAGTGAGTTGTATATAATGACATGTAAAATAAAATCTTAATTTATTAAAATGTAATAAAACACTACTAGCAAAAGTTCTCAGAAGGGACATAAAATTTTGTCCTCTATTCACAGAAAGGTAAAGACTCTTGGGACATGTTTGATGAGAAATTAACTTTATATATTTAGTCTCTATTTATAACATAAAAGACATTATTATGTTATTAATAAGAAGTTTGGAACATCTAAAACTATATATTTTATAGACAAATCTTCACCCTATTTTAAAGATGGGAGATTTGAAAACTATAAAGAAGATAGCTAAGACTTTTTCTGAAGTACCTCTTGTAGACTTTCTATAACAGGTTCTATACAGAAAAAAAAGAGTTCCATGAACAAATAAGTCTGTGAAACAATGTACACTACATATATCTCTCAAAGATTTAAAATACATATTAATCTATTTCTGGAATCAAAAAACATACTTAACTTTTTTAACCAAGCATTTTTCAAAATGTTCTCAGAAGACTTTAGAAAGCCCTGAGCTAGATAGACAAGGCATGGAAAAATATATCCAAAAAAGTAATGATTTTTGCATTCTTATGATTGTCAAAGCTGCTTAATTGGAACCTCTTCGTTAACTCTTGATAAACTATATGTGTGTTGTTGCTTTTTAAGGCAAATAAAATGTACTCACTGTTGCAGCACTTCCTTCCCTTCTGAATGGAGCTCTCAGCCAATGACAGGCCACTAAGGGAGGTTTTCAAGCCAAGGTGTAAAACTCTTTCCAGTAATTTCCAAGTTTAATGGAACTGTAAGTTCTGTAACATCAGAGTGTTTCTCACAAGGAGACAGGCCAACTCCACTCTTTTCCTAGAGGTGTGATAGTGAAGCCTACTGCACATTATTCTAGAATAAATAGCATAGGTCCAATAAAGTTCGGGAAGTTAGGATCAGTAGGAAGGGTAGTCCATATACATCAAGAGATGCCACCCACTAGAGGTAAAAAGAAAATGAAGCAAAAAAACCCCACAAAAAACCAATGATGTTCAGGAAATAGAATAAAAACAGAGAGAGATAACTAATAAATAAGATGACGGAAAGTATGAATACAGAAAAGTTGTACTAAGTATAGACACACAGATGACTATGTAAGATTAAAAAGGAGAACGGACAACTGACAACTCACTATGGTATGCAATCAAATTTTAGTCCTTCACCAACAAGGTTCATAATCCCCGACTTTAGGAAAGGGAATGTGCACTGTGGGACCTGAAAGGAAGTAAAATCTATCATGCAATAAGCAACGTTATTTTTCTGCTTTTTCGGGTGCAGATGGAAGAGGCTCAGAAATTCACTAGAAACTAATACAGAGTTGTTTTTTGTTTTTTTAATTTAAGAAGGCTGCCTCTTCAGATTTATACAAATCTTTAAAATATACTCACATGAGTGTCTATTCAATATAAGATTAACTTCGAAGATTAACTTCATTGGGAACAAAGAAATAAAACAAAAATATTCTTCAGATTCATTTGTTTTACTACTTTATTTCATGTGCAATGAGTATATTAGCAAGTCTATGCATATATATGCAAAGGAATGGTAAAATCCAGTGCAGTTTGAAATTATAGCTTTAAAAGTCCTGGTAAGTAAAGTAAATGAAAAAACAAAGTTTACACTTAGAAGAGAACAAACTCTGGGTCTGTTGAATCAAGATGTCAAAGGGAAAAATAAGTTCACCTAACAATCCAGCCCCCTTTGGCTACAGATCTCACCCATGATGCCTCCTTAAAACTACTTTGAAAGAAAAATCAAAATCATATAATATTCAGTATAATCTAAAGCATCATGAATTTACTTCTTAATTAATCAACACCATAATTCAGGAGTCCATACTTTAGGCTGCCATTAGTAAAGGGGAAGCTTAGAAGATAAAAGTTAGCATAATAGCTCTGGTATTATTCTTGTATAAAAAAAAGTGCTGTGAATTTTTCATACAGTTTTGCTAACGTGATCTTAATATTAATATTTAATTAATTTAAGACAAATTGTTTTTATGAAAACTGTAATTGAAGTTAGAAACAAATCTGAGTGACCATTAAAATAACTTTAAAAGAAAGAAAGCACATCTGAGGTAGTTATTTCATTTTGGGAGTTAAGTCATCTTCAGAAAAAAGGAACATGAAATAATAATCTTAATCTGCACTTTAATTGCTCAATAAAGGGAAACTCAGATTATCCAGAAACCTTTTAAAAATATTCTTATATACAGTTCCTTTGAATAGATTATAATATATTAAGTTATCAGGTACCAAAATTCAAGTAATACTTTTGTACAGGTCCTAAAATAGCATATTATTCTCTTACTGTTAACTGAAATGGTAAAATAAAATGTCTCTATTAAATAATGTAGTCAGCTCAAAACTAGATTTCTAGATTTTGATAATAATCTGTTAGTTTTAGTTATCACAAACTGAATTTGGGCTTAGGAGGTAGATATGAAGAGTATTTAAGCAGACACATCTATGTATATGGCATGCATTTAGGAACAAATAATTTTTCCCTCCATGTCAGCAGCTTTCATATCTCCTTTTGTATAAAATTCTTTTTGTGTAATTCACAATCTCCTGTGGGAATGTGAAAATCCTCTGTGTGATTCATAACCTCCTGTGGGAATTGTTAAAATGCTTTGTGTAATTTATAACCTCCTGTGGGAATTGTGAAAGTCTGGGTAATAAATGAAGAAATAAACAAACCACATCAAATACAACCAAATTTATTAAAACAAAGTTTAAAGATATTGCATGAAAGCCCCCAAATTCCACTGTCCATAATTTGAAAATTATGTTTTAAATGGGGCTAAACTAGCTGTATAGTTTCATTCTAATTTATTTTGTGTTTATAATGCAAAAGAAAATCAGCAGTGTCCATATGGCCATCCTTGAAAGAAAAGTTTCCCAAAATATGTGTGGTAGAAGAAAATGTATTTCAGTGACCTTAATTTATTTTTTTATTTCAGAGAGAGAAAGGGAGAGAGAGAAATATCAATGATGAGACAGTATTATTGATCAGCTGACTCCTGCACACCTCACACTGGGGATGAAGCCTGCAACCCAGGCATGTGCCCAGATTGGGAATCTAAATGCGACCTCCTGGTCGCCACTCAACCACTGAGCCAGCTGGGCTCAAATTGTTTTTAATGCAGAAATTTAAATATGGTAAATTATATCCACTAATTAATTTAAGAATTTATCATCTAGAATGAAAAACTTTCTGAAATAGGTACTTGTACTTTTTACTGGATATTAATTGACAGAACTTCATTGTCACATAATTGTAATTTTCCTATGAAGTTAATGGTTTCTATAACAATTGTCTTCTTTTTAATATCTATTATGATCTTTTGATATCAAATACAAACTAGATAAAGCATAATTATGTCGTTAAAATTACTTATATGACCTTGTTCTAATACATTTAGGATTCATTTTAACTCATTAATTTCTGTATTACAACTCTCCATCTCCTTCCTCAGTAAATAGGTTAGGATTTTTTTTGGTTCTACATTTCTTTTTAATATTTTTACTAGTGGTAGAATAATTTATGGATTTTTATGAATATCTGAATTTGAAAAGGTAACTTCCAAATGTGCTTCCTAGGATGTCATTATAAAATAAATTTTGTACAAAGTTACTTCAAAAGTAAAACTTGAGATTGTCAGTTCTTTTCTTAAAGTATGCTAAAACTGAAATATATATTATAATTATTTTTAAAAATCCAAAACCTCCTATAGACAAGTTTAATTTTTTAAATAGATAAAACAAACTTTTTAAGTAGACAAAATTCATTAAATAACAGTTTCTACTTTCTCATAAATTTTATCTTTAAACTAAGGTGGAATAAATAAGGACCTAAACATTATTTAAATGAAAACTTCAGTAAACAAGATTTTCACCATTTGTACTTTGTTTTAAAGTCTCAAAAAATATAAATAAAGACTCTCATGAGATGCTTACTTGTAAGTCTGCTTTACATAACCAGACCTGGGACTTCTTACTTTGTACAGTGGGCAGGAATTTTGTGTTTTGCCTATAAATATGTATCCCTGACCTAGACTAGTGCTTGGCACCTAACAGATGTGCAATGAATATTTGTGGCATAAATGAATACCTTACAGAAAACAGTTAAGATAGAATAATCATCTAAAAGACAGTAACAATCATCTACACTTTCCAGAACTCCTATCCATATTGTGCATGCTAAGGTATTAGAACCATTACCTATACAATATTTTTTCTAGTTAAAACAACAGCCAAACAATGATAATTTCCTGATACCAAGAAGCAAATATTATAAACTTTTAAAAAGAAAGTTTAGAAACTAGTATGTTCTAAAAACATTTTTTGGATATGTCTCAATGGAACTCAAGTCATAAATATACTTGGAGAATCAGGACTTGACAATGTTTTTTCAGGTTTAGAAAAGCAATTCAGAAGCAACAACACCGTAAAACACAAAAGATTTGTCTGAGCAGCAGCACCAGGGTATTTTCAGTAATTCCAAATTGCCTGTGGCATCTTTTTACTGGTTTTCTGGTATTAGCTTTAGAGTTAAAAGGAACCAATTTGGAGGGGACGGCAGGGAAGATAAATAGGAGGTTTTCTTTGCCCCTACTGTTTTCTCATACAATGGTCATAAGTATAAAATAATACAGAATATGGTTTTCTCCCTATATATTTTTCCAGATAAAATGAGACTCCTAGTGTTTCAACTACTTTAATAAAATAAGGAAAATCCTACAATGTTTAAAGACCTCTGAAAAACAATTTAGAGCATTTATTCAGTTAAGAATGAGCTGTGAATCTCACATTACTTATGATAATTAGAGAGTTCACTATAACAAAGATACTAAATTTAAGAATTTTTTTTGATACCTAAAAGAACCAGGTGAAATCTAGGTAGAATTAAAAAAATTAAAAACGACTTACCAAAAGGTTTAGTAAATAATTTTAGAGGAAATAAAGTATTCAATCATAATCAGAACATAAATTTTTGCCAACTAAAATATAATCACTGAGTATGTTCTGGAAATAAAAGGGTGTATCCAGATGGAAAGGGAAAACAGACATTTGGTCTACAGACAGAATTAAGGCAAATAATTCCTAAACTTCATGAGAAAAATATTAACACTTAGATTTAAACTACTAACTAGATTTTTACTTTTATTTTCCGTACAAGGGACTATTAACTTAGTCATTGAGTCTCTTAATATTTCATGCTTTTTATTTAATGATTTATCCGTATACCTTTAAGAGACAATACAGGCAACTGATTTCTATAGAGGCTTTTGGCTTATGTACAGGCTTTCTGAGTTGTTTTTCCTGCAAACTATAAAAAAAATCTTCAATCCATAATCATTGCTACATTTAGGAAAACAGGTTTTCCAAAATCTTCTGCAAATAGCAAACATAATCCTTAATAAAAGATACATCATTTCACAATTAAAAATTGTAATGCACGTATATAGTGCAAGAGTTAAAAAATAAAAAATTACACAATCCATAGTGTGAGTGAATATTTGTGCTAAGGCTTCTAACATCTTCGCTGTACCTTTACAGCCCTTTAATTTTTCTAATATGACTTACCAATTAGAGTTACCTTGTTATTGGCATAGTGTATGTTTTGCTTTTGATTAACTTAAAACTTGTTACAATTTCCCAGTTACAAAAAGAAAAAGTGCTCACACACCCCAACATTAATACTCTCAGAGTCTAAGAGAATTCTACACTAACTCTACATTAAACATATTGACAACCACATAACTTTTTCTTAGGGGCTTTTAATGTATTTTTTAAAATGGAGATGAATGAAGATATGTTAAGCTGGTGACTTCTATATATCAAGAATAAGATGCTTCTACAACTAAGTCATTATTCATGCAGATAAAGAAGAAAGGATATCTTATCTTCAATGATGTTCATGATCCAAAAATATTTGTTATATTAATTTTTGCAAAATCATAAAACATCAACAATCACTTGATTATTGGTAAGTACGAGAAAAGAAACACCAGAATCTCCAAAAGATTTAGTGAGTCTATCCTGCTTCTTTCTGAAAAAACATTCCAAACATCTTATAAGAAAGATTTTAAGTTGAAAGCAGAAAAAGAACAGGTGAAAAAAATAGCACAACGTATATATGAGTATTCATAAAGGGGTAGGAAGAATATGAACGCATTGCTGTTCAAAACAGAATCACTACATGGGCTGAGACATCTGGTAAAGTTATTGTCCAGCTAAGTTTACATAACTCTAAAATCAATGATAAAGCAATGAGGACTATTGGGGGTGAGGGGAGGAAAAGCCACTGACTGTGGAAAGAAAATGATCACTTCAGTACCAAACACCTTTGAATGGAAGAGCTACAATGAGGAAAGACAAATGTACTCATCACTTATGGCCACCCTGAAACAGAAGAAGGAAGTAGAGAAGAAATGAAGGAAGAAAATTAAATTTCTCTTTAGGGAGAAAAAGATAAAATTAATCTCTTATTAAATCTCTAAAAAAGAAAAAGAAAACTAATGTGAAAATTCTATTTTAACCTCTGACTGTAATGGCTAAACACATTTGGGAGTATATGATAAACAGCAAACTGGGACTCAACTCCTAGAATACATATTCAATAAATAATTACTTTTACCATAAAAACTAGATGAAGATGTATTAATAGAAAAAAGAAATAAAAATAGCCATCATATGAGAATCAACAGGGCAAAAATTTAAGTACAACAAATTTCTCCAAGAAAAGAAAGACATAAATTAGATATTGATAGTATTTCAGTTTTTTAGGAAAAAAGTGGCTAAATTTCAGAAAAAGAGAAGAAAATAATCAAGCATATGAATCATTACTAATATTACACTGTAAAATATATAATGATAAATTACCTAGAAAATAGTTTTTCTGTAATAAAAATGTAAAGAATCAAGATCCATGGCCCAAAACATGATTACGGCTACAAGGTTTTTTTTTTGTTGTTTTATTTATCTTTTTGGGGGGACAGGGAGCATGACTGAGGTTGTGTCAGAAAAATGTAAAAAAAAGACCAAAACTAAAATCAGTTCATGAGAAAACAACATGTGCTTCAATGATGATGACTACTGTCTAGAGCAGCGGTTCTCAACCTGTGGGTTGAGACCCCTTTGGGGGTCGAACGACCCTTTCACAGGGGTCGCCTAAGACCATCGGAAAACACATATATAATTACATATTGTTTTTGTGATTAATCACTATGCTTTAATTATGTTCAATTTGTAACAATGAAAATACATCCTGCATATCAGATATTTATATTACGATTCATAATAGTAGCAAAATTACAGTTATGAAGTAGCAATGAAAATAATTTTATGGTTGGGGGTCACTACAACATGAGGAACTGTATTAAAGGGTCGCGGCATTAGGAAGGTTGAAAACCACTGGTCTAGAGGATATAATTTGCTAGTATGTTTTGATATTTTAGGGAAATAGCAACAAATTAGGCTTCTAAAGATAAGTTTATTAACAGCTACCCACAAATTGGAGAAAAGAAATAAAATTTATGAAGTTATCAAACTAGTTTTAATATGTCTTGTCCTCCTGTTTTTGCCTAAATGTAGTTGAGATTCTATGTACATAAAGTCACATAAATCCTGACTAAAATGGACTCCATGAGGCCAGCACATTCTAAATTACATCATTAAACTTATCACATAGCTTTGACATAACATTTAGAAACAAAAGTAATCAAATAATTATTAAACAGATATTTATAGTTATTCTGTACATATACATACATAAACATATGTGTAGTAATTGCAGTGTGAACTCATATATACTTTAAAGTATTTTTCTTAATTTTACATGTAACTAAAATAATAAAGAATATACATGTATCCAACAGAAATTTAAATTTGATAACTGCTGGACATAATTTAGTCAAATTTAAAGTAACAAAATATGCATAAAAAACTAATTTCACATATACACATTGTTAGTAAACAAAAATAAGGGCACCTATTTTTAAAGAATAATATAACAAAGCATTATACAAAAAAAGTAATTGCAATGCTTTCATTTTTATTATAGTTCAGTGTAATTATTAAATTAAAATCGTTCTTTAGGGATGGCCAGTTTTAAGCAAACTCAAAATATTTTTCCACTGGAAAATTTTGTATGACTATAACTAATCTTTCAAAGCTATGTATTTTCTTCAAATTAGCTTCTGCTTGTGTACAGAATTTGGATCACATACCCATGCCTCTGTTTGAATGGGCCTGATGTTGCTTAGTAGCACCTCTTCATAGTTTCCGTAATCAATGAATTTAACAACTGCTGTCATACCTGAAGAATGGAGAGCTTCAACTTCTGCTCGGTAAAACTGAGGAGACAAAAAGGAGTTTTAAATATGACAATCAACACTGTCTACAAAGGGCAATATTAGATGGAAATCTGAATAATCGAAGTGCTAGAATGCATAATTTCTTTGAAAGCTCAATCTTCTTTTAATTAATATTTTGAGATAAACTGACATAGTTTCAGATGCACAACACAGTGATTTGACATATGTGTATGTAGAAAATGATCACCACAATAATTTTTTTTAAAATATATTTTTTATTGATTTTTTACAGAGAGGAAGGGAGAGAGATAGAGAGTTAGAAACATCGATGAGAGAGAAACATCGATCAGCTGCCTCCTGCACATCTCCTACTGGGGATGTGCCCGCAACCCAGGTATATGCCCTCGACCGGAATCGAACCTGGGACCTTTCAGTCTGCAGGCCGACACTCTATCCACTGAGCCAAACCGGTTTTGGCCACCACAATAATTTTAATGTTCATCGCCAGTTATAAAAAATTTTTTCTTTTTGATGAAAACTTTTAAGATTTATTCTCTTAGGAACTTTCAAATATGCCATATTTTAAAGAAAATAATTGTTAAGAGAATAATGTATTTAATAAATAAAACTTACCTTTGAATAATCATAAATTGGCTAAAAAAGATAAATTATCTCATCCATATGAGTTCTGACATAACACTAAACAGTAGTAATATTTCAGGACAGAGCTTGATGGTCAGGAGAGAATATTCTCATGCCAGTGGGTATATAAAGAACGAGTGTTATGTTTTGTTGTCAGCCATTGAAGTCCTTTGACTAATATTAGTAAGATATTTTTTATATATTAATCAGAATATATAACTACTAGAGGCCCTCTCGCAGTCCGGGAGCCCTCAGGGGATGTTTGACTGATGGCTTAAGCTGGCAGTCAGACATCCTTAGAGCTGCCACAGAGGCGGGAGAGGCTTCCACCATCACGGCTGCACTCGCCAGCCATGAGCCTGGCTTCTGGCTGAGTGGCGCTCCCCCTGTAGGAGTGCACTGACCACCAGGGGACAGTTCGTGCATTGAGTGTCTGCCCCCTGGTGGTCAGTGTGTGTCACAGCCACTGGTCATTCCGCCGCCATTTGGTCAATTTGCATATTAGCTTTTTATTATATAGGATGGGGCAACTTAAAAAAACAGAAACATATGACAAAATAAATACAAAGAAAAAGGCTCATTGCTGCTGACATCACAGGCAGCTGAGGGGAAGTAGGGATGTCAGGTAAGGAGTAAGCACATAATTCATATCCAGGCTTTACGGGATTTGAGACACTGCAAGACTAGACACCTTTATTTTATCAGTTTACTCAGTTTTACTTGGCTCTGGGAACTAATGCTCATTAACAACCTCACAAGGAACTAATTTACATAACAAGTACAATTTTAAAATTTTCTCTTATGGTAACTAGGAGTAGGTCACTAATTGGTCAACCCATTCAGGACCTAAATTATAGGTCAGAATGTTGCTTAGTGAACATGAAAAACTACTTTCTCTTAAGGAATAATTTCTTTAAACTAGGTTAGTTGGAGACTCTACTATAACACTGTCTATTCTTAACAGTATCTCTTAATAGGCTCACCAGAATCAGAAATGCTAAAGGCAACAGAAATTCTTATTTTTCATATCCTTCTAAAATATGACTTACCAGGAAACAATCTATTTTTCTGAGTAACTAGTATACTTCATACTACAAAGGTTATAAAGTTAATCCATGGTGCTTCCTTCCCAGGTCTGGATGCTAAGAAATTTAGAGACATCATGTGGGGATTTTCCAAATCTTGGAGTTCTGATATACATTTACATCTCTCCATCCCTCCTTTATACCTTTAGCCTCATACTTCTGTGTTCTGTGAATTATTGTGAGTATTTCTGGACCTATGCTTCAATTGTAAGCTTCTCAGGTAATTAGGTAAGTTCAACAAACAATGAGTTACAATATAGCCTAGGAAAACAAATAAGTTGACATCTTTTTAGAACTTAACACTTTCATAAAGACAACTTGTATAAAAAAATGACTTCTATATAATGTAGAAAGCACTGTAATAAAGGTTTAGTGATATGGCATTTGATAAAGCTAAGGAGTTTGGGAAGAGCTTCCTGGGCAGATGACAATTAATATAGTGTTTAAGGCAGAAGAGGGTTTAGCCAAGTAAAGAACTGAGAAGGGTGTTTCTTTCAGGGAATGTTACAGACAAAACATGAAGATGAGTGCAGAAAACTACAAAGAGTTTAAAATTAATTATGGCATGATGTGAGAAAAAGGGTAAACCAATAGGAAATTAGACAGGGCAGAAGGTAAGAGCTAACTGACTGAGGCTCTACATGCATATTAGAATTTGTATTTATTTTATGGGTAAAAGATTTAAACTAGGAAGAATGGTATGTTCTAAGCCCAGAAGCACAGTGGTGGCCATTTCAATGACAAGTGTAAGAGGAATAAAGTTTAAGGCACCCTAGCTGGTTTGGCTCAGTGAGTAGAGCATCAGCCTGTGGAGTGAAGGGTCTCGAGTTCGATTCCGGTCAAGGGCACATGCACAGGTTGCAGGCTCGATCCCCAGTAGGGGGCGTGCAGGAAGCAGCCAATCAATGATTCTCTCTCATCATTGATGTTTCTATCTCTCTCTCCCTCTTCCTCTCTGAGATCAATAAAAATATATTAACAAGAAAAAGTTTAAGGCAAGGAGACCAGTTTGGAGGTGGTTCGGGTATTCCAGTTGAGAGGTCAAAAAGCGCTGAACTAGCTATGACAGTTTAGAGGAAGAATTGTCCCAGATTCTAAAATCCTTCAAAGCAAATAAAACTTGAGAGATGGCAAGATATTGGGAGTAATTTTTTAAATGATTATACTAATTGAGCAATCAGCTCCAAAACATCATTGTAATGCAATTAAGACAATGATTTCTTTTTTTTTAAATATATTTTATTGATTTTTTACAGAGAGGAAGGGAGAGAGATAGAGAGTTAGAAATATCGATGAGAGAGAAACATCTATCAGCTGCCTCCTGCACATCTCCCACTGGGGATGTGCACGCAACCAAGGTACATGCCCTTGACCGGAATCGAACCTGGGACCTTTCAGTCCGCAGGCCGACGCTCTATCCACTGAGCCAAACCAGTTTCGGCGACAATGATTTCTTAAAAGCTAAGTGTTTTTCTTAAATCTTCACCTTGGTCTCTGGCTAGAAAATTAGAAAGTTGCCTATTCTTGACAAGACATTTAAAAGCTATCTCGCCCAGCCTATGTGGCTCAGTGGTTGAGTGTCGACCTATGAACCAGAGGTCATGGTTCAATTCCCAGTCAGGACATATTCCTGGCTGTAGGCTCAATCCCCAGTAGAGGGTGTGCAGGAGTCAGCCCATCAGTGATTCTCTCTCATCACTGATGTTTCTACCTCTCTCACCTTCCTTTCTGAAATCAATAAAAACATATTTTTTAAAAAATTAAAAGCTATCTCTTAAATTAGGTGGTTTCAAAATATAACTAATCTCATCTCTTTCAGAGGATAAATAGTTTATCTCATTTGTTTAATTGTAAAATCTATATAGAGCCCACGTCCCTCACTCTAAACTGAAAGGATATATCCAATTAAAATCAAAGTAGTCACTTTAAAAGATCATCCAATAATTCTAAGAATACTCTAAAAGTTCAAAACAATTGGGAATTGTTAGGTGCTGTCTTTCAGAAGGTGGTATTTGAAGTCATACGGGTAATAACACAACCAGAACTATCTGCTCTATCCCAAGTACCTGACACTTAGCAGCCATTCAATTATGGTTTGTTGAATACTCAATATTTGCTAAAGAACTTGCCTGCTAAGTCCAACATCTCAATAGCTGTAGGTCTTTTTACTTTTCTCTGTTGCTTTGTTTCTGGTTTATCACATTCTCTCCCCTTTCTCTTTCTTTCCTTCTCTCTCTCTCTCATGATTTTTTATAGGATGCCAGGCATTGCAGGTAAAATATTCAAAAGATTCTAGGAAATGTATATTCCCACCCCACCCCCCCCAAAAAAGAGGATCAGATTTTCTTTTGGCAGGCAGACAGCGTGCAAGCAGACATCCTTGATTCTATAAAGCAAGCATGTGAAACTCGAGGCCCACGGGCCGCATGTGGCCCACAACGAATATTTTTGCGGCCCAGCCAATATAACAGTATGTAAGAAACATTTTAATAAAAATTTTGTACCTCAATTTTTACAATATCCTGTTATACATAATTATTAATAACAAACTACAATGTTCGCTAATGACTGATTACTATAATCGTGTTGCATTCATTCCCTTACACGCCTTATGTGCAGGCGCAGCATTTCTCTCCACTAATACCAGCAGCGAATATTTTAGCAGCCAATTGCCACATCATTAGTCTTGGACTGACTTGTTTGGTGTGCTCAACAGGAAATATTCTGCTTTCGGATAACAAGAAAAATAGGTTTATTTGAATTATGCTTATTAATTTGTGCAGTTATTCAGTGTCTGGTAAGTTAATGTTCAAGAAAAAAATATTAATTTTTATTAAATTTTCTATTATTTTATGTTAATGATTACTCATTTATTTCAGCCCTTTGTATTCAGCATGTCTCTATCAAAATAAACCTATGTTTCTATGAAAATTGAAGCTTTTGGTTTTTTGCAGCCCACATAAACATAAACCTTGTTATTTGACCATGTTAGCCTTTGAGTTTGACATGCTTGCTGTAAAGGGCTGGTTTTAGGCTTTGTCATGGCTTGTTTGTAGTAGTTTTTTACTTACTACTAGGGCATGATCCTTGTGAGGTTTTAGCCTTTCGAATCTTATCTGACTTGAACTCCAATCACTTACCTCCTCTGCTTGTAGAAATGACCAACAACCCCACACTGTCCAATACAGAAAGAAACATTTTTCCATCTTCATCTTAACAGAAGCACCTGACACAAGGTCTACTCTAAGGTAGACACTAAGCTCTACAAACCAACACTGATTTCTAACTACTTCACCTTTTCTTGCCCCTGCATAAGGGAGAAGCAGGTAAACATTAAGTAATCCCTCATTAACCAAATCAAATAGTTCCTGTATTTTGGAAAGGGAGTGGTCTGAGTTGAAAGAGTAATAGTCTGAATAGTACTTGCTTTCCAAGCCTTCCCAATAGCCAGGAAGTAGCCATGTAAAATGAGCTCGTCTGGTGATATTTCTGGGAAGGCTTTTGCTTTTTCAGAAACACACACACACACACACACACACACACACACACACAGACACACACACACAAAACAAAACAAGACAAAAACAAAAACAAAAACATAGCTAGTGCTGTCTCATCCCCTCCTTTTGGCCTTGAATAAAAACTTGGCAGTAGAGATGCTGCTTCTAGATGAGTATCATCCCACATGCAAACAACAACTATGCCACCTGGTTATACCATCCTATACTCTCCTTGCTGGTATCATCAGGTAACACCTAACGCCTCATCACTCATTGAACACCACGGGACCTGGTTCCCTATAGCATCTTTTCTTTCTTTATGTGTGTGTGTGTGTGTGTTTTAGTGAGAGAGGAAGGGAGAGGGAGAGAGAAACATTGATCCAAGAGAGAAACAATGGTTGCTTGCCTCCTGTATGCAACCTGACTGGGGATCAAACTCACAACCTGGTATGTGCCCTGACTGGGAATCGAATTGGTGACCTTTAGGTGCACTCAACCAACTGAGCCACACTGGTCAGGGCTACAGCATCTTTTTAAAGGATCCATCCACATTTCCTAGCCTGAATTTGAGTTCCTTGAAATCTTCAGTTAACTTTACTTGCACCACTTCTTTTAGTCACACATACACTCTCATGGGCACATCCGTACTTTATCAACTGAAAGTACTCTACCTATGAAATATTTACTTCAAATATTTTTTTTGACCTGATTCTCACATCTATGCATGTCCCTGTCACTATAAATCCCTTACCTCAGTTTTAATTACCTTACTGATAGCACCAGTCCTCTAACCACTCTACTTTTTTCCTATATAAGTGCCCCATTCAAAATTAACTAACTAACAGAGTCAACAAATGATTATTAAATTCCTACACTGTGGGAAGAGCAGGGCTACAGAAAAAAACTAGACAAAACCCTGCCTTTAAGGAACTTAAAATTATGATAGGGAGAGCTATCAATCCAGTAACAACAACAAAATGAGTTACAAATTCTGGTAACTTAAAGAAAGTGAATAAGGCACCGATTGAGAAAGACAAGAATGTGGGAGAAGGGATCAGGTTAAAGAAGTCTTCCTTTAGGAAGTGTTGTTTGAGCCCAGCCCTCAAGGATAAGAAGAGTAGTTGGTAGAAAATGTTGGGCAGAAGGCAAACATGTGCAAAGGCCCTTTTCTCAGAGGGTCCTTCTGTCCTCCTCATCTTCCTGTTCTGGCTGTGTGGTCTTCTCCCTCTCAGTCAGGCTCTTTTATCTGATCCACTGTATTCCTTCTTGACCTCATCTTCTATATTTCCCTTCTCCTTTCTCCCCAATTTCCCTCTTTTCTTTTTAGCCAGCATGTAATATAGAACAAAAGAATGTTTAATTTATTGGTTTAATAATTATTATATTACTTATTATCAGCTAAATAATTAACTATTTTCTTAATTTTTTTTTTAAATGTAGTCTGTGCAAATTTTCTTTAAGTTAGATGAAATCTGCAGAATTTAACCCTGGGCCACTCAAATGATTTTCCTCCTTGTGAATTAGTATAATCTCACTAGAAAGAAAAGCAAACATTAACAGTTCAGTTGATGGCAAGTGAAATCATTTCTCAACTTTACTTAATCATTTTTACAATACTATTCTAATATACAAGCTAAAATAAAATCTAATCTAACCAAATCTATGGGACTCATTCTCCCTAATCATTCATAAAAAAACCCCAATAAATATAATAAATATTTTATTTACCCTGTTATAAATTATATATCTATAAATCTGTTCAAAGAAGTACAGTTTCACTAAAATGTTACACTTAGTAATATTAGTACATAGTAGCATTATAGCATGCATACCTTATTGTCTTCCCAATAAAGTGCAAAACATTCATCTCCAGGTTTCCACAGTTTTGCATACTCCATAGGAACAGATGGTTCCAGTACTTTTTCTGGTTTAATTGGCCCAGATCTTCTTTTGGGACCACTACTGTAAAATACTTTATCATCATAGGGTGTGGCTGTGGTGGGTCCTGTTGGCTTAATAGGTCCTACGCGCCTTCCCTTCAGTGGCATTTCTGTCTCTCCATTTGGAACACCAATGAAACTATTAGTTCTGACAGGATTCTGGTAATCAGTATTTATAGGAAAATGTTTTTCAATTTTTACACCACTGAAAGCTTCATTATTTATTGTTCGTGGTTTCCTGTCATAAAAATGATCAGGATTTGCTGTTTGGTTTTCTCTTTTCCCACGTTTTTGATTATTATAATCTATGGATTCTTGAGGAAGTGGATTTTCTTTTGCCTCTGCATAGGCTGGACCTCTTCCTGATCTGTTTTGCATAGAGTTATCTCTTTTTCTAAAAGCACCATCATTGTGCTGAGAACCTAAATGGTATGAGGTGTCTTTAGTCCTATCATATCTAGAATAGGGTCTATCACATCTGATTCTCTCTTCAGCCCATCCTTCAGATCCTGAAGAAGTACTTGGTCTTTCAGTACCTCTATTTCTAGGCAATCCACTGCCTTCTAAAATTGATTTCGAATTTTGGGTGTCTCTTTGAAAACGAGGGGGTTTTTCATTTCTTGGCTGTCTGGTATCATTCCGAGGAAGATATCTTGTTTGATTACTGTCTTTTATTCCATTTTGCTCAGTATTCAACAATCTGTGTTGCCCTTGATGAAACTGCTGCGGTTGTGATTTAGGCTCTGAAAAGTAAATCATATGCACATTAAAATGATGATTCTGAATTAACACTTATTTTAAAATGCCTAAAAATTATAATAATACAAAATTATCAAACTCTATTTTAACATCTTTCACTATCTTCCCACTGATTATCTTCATCCCTCTCTGCTTCCTTAGTCCTGTATTTCTAATGTACAGTGTCCTGAGTCAGTCATATTAGTGAAGTAAAGCAATAATATGTATGAAACATGAAAACAATGGTGGAAAATTTAAAAACAATTCATCTTTGTCATTGAATGTTTGCATTCTTATAAAATAGTTAGTTATATATGCAATTCTGGTAATTCATTTCCCAAGACATTAATGAAATAGAACTGTAAACTGCTAACTCAGAAGATGCTTTAAAACTGCACAAGTACAACCCTTGTTCAACTTCTTTCTGAATCCCACTCCAATTTAGATAAGTATGCCTATTACTGTCAGTTAAACTCTAGCCTTCGCAAAAATGTCATTTCTCAAAATCTTTCTGGATTTGGAATTGCTAAGTTTTTGGAGTACAAAATAAATACCCCATTATAGAAAAGAGTTAATAATTTTCTTGACCTATCAAAGTAATTAAAAGCAAATCCTACTTGGAAATACAGAAATTTGTCAATATGATTAAGCACAATAGTTCAAATAATATCCAGCTAGATACCAAAAGAAATACCACGGTAAATACATATTCATAGATAATGTAATGACTGTTTTTCACACGGTGATTTTTATTTTATTTCAATTTGTACCATGTCATTTACTAGTACACGTTCTTCCTCCGTTGTTTCACACAACATGTCTATAACATTATTACCAAACACACTAATTGGTCTTTGGTATACATGTCTTGCTTCTCTTGTCATACCCCATAACCAATATGTAGGTCAAGATTATTCTTATATTTCCCCAGGGTCACAGTACTTCTCAACAGGCCTTCTATTGACATTTTGGGTGAGATTGTTTCCTGCACTGCAAGAAAATCAACCTCTTTGACCTCCATGAACTAAATGCCAAAGCACTCTCTCCCAGCATTCCCAGTGTCTCCATACATTCCAAACACCCACTAGAGGTAAAAACAAAACAAAACAAACAGATAAAATGTTTAAATCAACAGGAAGAAAGAGAAGATCTTTAAAAGTTCCTGAGTGACAAAAAAAGCCATAGACTAAAGATCAAGACTCAAAAGGGCAAAAAAAAAACAAAAAACCTTTTCAACAGAACCACTGGAAGCTAGAAGCCAATCTAACAAGTTGTAATGTCTTTGAAAAGAAAGGAAAACTATTTTCTAAGTACAATTCTACATCCAGCCAAACCACCCATTAATTGTGACAAAGAATTAAGACTTTTCAAATAAGCAAGGTAGCAAATACTAGCCAAGACCATTTGCCAGAGACATTTGAAAAAAATTACTTTTTTCAAGATCTGCCTTATAAATATAACACAAATATCTTGTTTTTAACAGTTGTAGTCAATATTAAGTTTTTCTTTAGAGACAAGAAAAATGGTCATCTTTAGTTCCTGCTGGCATTATTTATTTTCCAGGAATAAAGATTCAGGGAAGAAAGAATAGTAGTGAATATAAGCAGTACACCAATAAGCATTTTCAGCAGAAAGCAGATATTGGCATTTGTTCCAGTCATTATTAGAGAATAAGCACAGCAGTTGCCTCTTTCTATCTGCAGTGTATTAGGTATCTGCACTTGCACTTTATCATCAAATAGTCCCCACAGTAATCTTGAGATACAAATGTTATGGGGTTTTATGTAATAAAGAGAAGTAAAGTCCCTTGTATGGTGAATTGAAGAAAATTTTCAGCTTCCAAAAGAAGTCAGAGATGAAAATATTTTATTTGCTGTTGTTAGACTTAAACAGATATTTGAGAAGGAGCATTTTAGAGTGGCTGTGTTTAGGGATCAATGTGTCTTATTACTCCAGTTAGGGCCACTGATACCTCTGATGGTCAGAAAGTACAAATATATTAGCTCATCACAGGAGTTGCTACCCATCCTGAACTAGAGATGGGGTTCTGGATAACCATATATACAAAATGAAGGCCTCAACTAGGCTTGGTAGGGGTAGGAGAATTTGTTTTCAGTTTTTCTAGAAGGAAAAAAAAGATTTCCCAATCTATTTAATTGACAATATATATTAGATTACAGAATAAAATAAGTGATGTTACTAATAATAAGCATACTTCAATTCCAATAATGTGCTGAGATAATACAGTGAGAGAAGAATCTACAAAGAAAATTACTTTTTAAAATAATCCTCACTTGAGGATATTTCCCCCTACCCCCCATTGCTTTTCAGAGATAGTAGATGCGGGGAGGGGGGGGAGACAGGCGGGGGAGAGAGCAAGAAAGAGAGAAACATCAATGAGAAAGAGACACATTGACTGCTTGCCTCCTGCTTGCGCCCAGATTGGGGGATGGGTAGAGCAAACCTGAAACCCAGGTACGTGCCCTAGACCTGGAATGGAACCTGAGACCCTTCAGTACGCAGGCTGACATTCCAAACAATAAGCCACACTGGCCAAGGCAAGAAAACTACTTTTTAAAATAAAAATTAAAAAGAAATAAATACAATGACGAAGAGGATAAGCTTTTAAAAGAACACAGTTTTCACATATATCCAATTCATTTCAAAATAAAATAACAATAAGCCAAGAAAAGAAAGTTCTTACATGCTTCATGGTTCTCAGATTTCCTTTTGTCTTAGGTAGTTGAGTAATGAAGTCAGATATAAAGTAAATATTTTGAAAACGAGCTAATCTATTAAAAAATAACAGAATATGTACAATTACTAAACTGTGGAAAAGGTAATTTTAGGTAAATTAAGAAATAAATCCCAAATCAAATAGAAAGCTCCTCAATTCTCCAGTCAAAATCTAATTGCTCTCTGCCACCCTTCCTGAGGAGGTATAATGATTCCAAAACTAAAAATACTAATCAGCACCACAGGCCAGGTACACAATCACTCTAATAAAAATATACCCAGATATTTTTCTGTATAAACAACAGAATAAAATGAATCAATGTGTGTGTGTTTTTAATGACCTGAAGGGAAAGATGAAAAAGAAGTATAACCAGAAACTGGTAACATTTAATAGTAAATAGTAGAAAAAAGAAAAAGGAAGATTAGCAAAAATGATGGAAAAATTTCATCACAAAATAACTAAACCTGTGAAAACATCTAAAAAATCACAGTGATTAACTAATAAAGAATTTTAAAAAAATAAATAAATAAAAATAAAAAATCAAAAAAAAAATCACAGTGATGAAAGCTCACATGAAAAAACTGGTCAAGAATGCTGTATGAGTTTAATTTGACCAGTGATAAAATGTTCCTGTTACACCAGATCATGAATTTCAAAATGTTTACAAGATAATTGGTTACAATATTTTGCATCACCATGATTTGAAATATAGGAATCAAGAGTGAATTTATTAATTGCCATGAATTCTTTAGGGTTTTATATGAATTCTTCTTGGCAAAATATTCATTTTCCAGTCAGTTGTACCTGCACTTTACAGTAGAAAAAGGTACATTTTGTTTCTTCATTTTTTTTTAGGAAAGAATTTCAAAATGTTTACAAGATAATTGGTTACAATATTTTGCATCACCATGATTTGAAATATAGGAATCAAGAGTGAATTTATTAATTGCCATGAATTCTTTAGGGTTTTATATGAATTCTTCTTGGCAAAATATTCATTTTCCAGTCAGTTGTACCTGCACTTTACAGTAGAAAAAGGTACATTTTGTTTCTTCATTTTTTTTTGAGAAACGTACCTGAAAAAGTGACTTAATATTTATTAAGATTTTATTATTGCCTGACTCCACATTAAAGGTCTTTTGCCTACATTATTTTATGTAATTCTCATATCCACCCAGCAGGGCCATGTTAATATCCTTATTTTACTAGTGAAGAAACAAAGCAAAGCTAGCAGCTTGGAAATGTTAAAGCCAGAATTTAAACCCAAATCTAACTGAAGCTAAAGCCCACGCTTTTTCCACCAGGCCAAGCTGCCTGCCCAGAGAAACAAAACAGAATGTAACCAACAGCATGCTGGCTACAGCTTTATCAGCTACATCTGTTCATTTCTGGGAGATGCAGAAATCACAAAAACTCTTTAACAATCCCCAATGGACTGAAAAAATAAAGTTGTGTACTAGGATTGCCAGAATACTGACCTAAAGTTAATAATCTTTCTATTAAAGCAGAAAAAACAAAAACCCCTATTAACAGTTGGACTGCTACTTAGAAGCTCACCAACTGGCACTTACAGGTAGCATAATGTGCAGGATGCAGCCGCTAGAAAGGCACTGAATAGCTACATCACAGCTCTGCCAACTAGTAGTTCTGTAACTCCAGGCAAGTTATTTAACTTTTCTGAGCCTCCCCTTTAAGATAGGGATAACAGTAGCACCCATCTCAGAGGATTACCTATGTACTTAGAACCCTATCTGGCTTTAATAAGGACATAATAAATTTAGCTGTCATTGTTATTATGATCATCTATAACAATAAAAGCATAATATGCTAATTAGACTGGATGTTCTTCCAGACAACTTTCCAGATGAAGCTGCGGTGGTGGGGGCCGAGGCAGCCCCCGTGGCAGCGGGGGCCGAGCCCCTTGCACGAATTTCGTGCATCGGGCCTCTAGTTAGTATTATAATTATGCAAATAAACATAATGAATTACATCAAGAAAAAAACAATTCTTAGATGATAAGGTGCTTCCCTATTTACACATCTTCACCACCAACAATCTCAACTTTAGTTAGTATCTTTAGCTTCCTTGCTTTAGTTTTTTGTTTGTTTTTGTTTCTTCTTGTTGAAATCAGGGTAGAAAGAATGATTTAGTAAAAACTTGTTTGTTGCCAAATTATCATTTTGGTTGTCTGTTTGGGTTTGTGACTATGTATTAAGTAGATCCTCTACACCTCTCAATCTCTAGTGGAGGACAGTGTTAAAGGCTGTT